TGACTGAGTAAATAATGACAGAATTTAAATTTTTGGGTGAACTATCCCTTCAATGACAATCGGCAGCATGTTTAGTAGTACTGCCGCTTTAAGAGCTGCATCTGTTTTTCTCTCAACTGTTTACTTTTACTTTAGACATAACTAACTGTGTTTATATGTAAACCTTGTGTGTTTTTGACAGTATTAGCACAATCAGACGATAACTAACCAGGTGATGTTTGACTGGCCTTTTAGTGAAAGCACGCTTCAGGTGTACGTGCTCTGAATAAGCGCATGTCAGAACAGCACATTTAACCAGCGAGGCTTTAAAGCACACGCAAATAATGTACTTTTGAGATTGTGAATAAGTGCAGTGTCTCGTGAGTGTAACTCTACCGCTGAATTAACATTTGATGTGAATGTGTCTCGCGAGTTGCAGTTGGAGCTGGAGCCGGGAGACATAGTAAATACAGCTCATTGCTTGAGGTAGATGTTGTGTTTTGTTAGTAAATGTTTCATTATATTACTAGTGTTGCCTCCTTTGTTCACTATTACACTACTGCATTGCATCTGACACTGGTGTCGCATAGTTTTGTAACATGGGCCCACACTTTCGAACGTTTCACTCTTGCCGTGATGACTGATTGCACGCAAGCACACACCGTGGATATCCCACGCACATCGAGCAAACGTTGGCCACATCATTCAGTGAAGGAAAATGACAAGCAGCAGCTTCTAATTCACCATTAACATTGAAGTATACAGAGATAAAACAATGCAAGTATCGATAACAGTATCGTTTTTCCTGAAGCTTATCGGTAGTCCGGTATTGATCCAATTACGTACTGGTCCAAAAAAATACCGGTTCTCGGTACCCATCCCTATTACTCGTCTATCAAGAAGAAACAATGCAACCTCGACGTCTGATTCCAAGCCTTCCCGCTCCTTGAGTTCTCTCCATCGCTGGAAAGCTGGTCCGATATTTACGCGGGTCCTAACCTCTTACCTGATCGTAACCCTTCTTTTTTAATATTTTGTTCCTCTGATATTTTCCTTTTTATCTGCCATCTCTCTCTATCTATATTCAATCTGCTAATATCCGTCCTGTGCACTCAAATTGAGCGCTCTCTTCTTCCTTTCATTACTAGACACGCCCCTTACTGCTGATTGGCTACAAGTGTGTTTTGGGACTCGGTCCACTGTGGTCAAAAGCGTTTTTCAAATATTGCTAAGTGCACCTTTAACTGTACAGTTGTTGACATTAGCTCTGTTATTAAAACAAATATCAATTGTCATTAGTGCTTCAGTATTATAGATTGCCAGAATTCGTTGTGCTTATTCATCATTTTCACCACCAGGTGGTCACAATGTTTTTTTTTTAAACATTTGAATAAGGAACCCATTCACTCATACTTTTACTTTCTGGTCTGCTGATGTTGGATAAAATAAGATTCGTTCAGTATGTTTTAGAAATTAACAACAAAGCTGTTGAGGAACCTGGGAAATCTGAGAAAAAACTGGAGAAGAGCAGAAAAGTAAGAGGAACCAAAATTTCAGTCATGTAACTGGTAAAAATCAATAAATTCAGCAAATCTGTAGATGTGTAAAAGATGCTCGGGACAGTTGACGGAATTTATCATTTGCACATGTTTTTAAGTCTTGCCAATTTAAAAATTCAAGTGATTTTAAATTATTTTAAGCACAAGTAGACGCAAAATAACTCAATTTACCCTTCGCAAGGAGCTTGATTGACAGGCGTTCTGACCAGTCATAATGCCAAATCCGCCATTTTCATCTGACAAACAAACCAGACAGGAGAGTAGATTAGCGTAGGTGGATTTAAACTTGAAACATTCTGAACTGACATCTTTCTGTGGTTGAAACAAGATACCTTCAGCTGTTCATTCATGTTTATTTGGCGCTTTAAATAGCAGGTCATATGCGTTTTCAAAAAAAAAAATCAATTTTGCAGTTTTTAACGTAGCTATCTTTCAATGTAAGCAGTCTGCAAAGTTGTTAATCAAAAAAGTGCATGATAAATAAAGATATTGTCTCTCTCAAAAAAAAAAGAGTAGACTCTGAACCATCTTAACGAGTCATCATATTTTCGAATCTTCTGCCTGTTACCAATATACAGTACGTCACTAGGTAAAACATTTGCATAATCCCCACCTGCCTGCGAAATACGAACACTCTGGCCTGCCCACAAACACTTACGCTAGTTAGTGTGTTTACATCATGTGGTGAAGACTCTGTGTTCTGCTCTGAGAAAGCAAGTTTGTTTTGTTTTCATTGCCGAAAGATGATGATGTGAAGAATCAGTGATTAAAATAATTGTTTTTCAAAATACCACAGCAATACACAAAATTCTAATTCTTTTGTTGTGTGTTCGTCATTTTACCGAGGACTGCTTCTCTATTCTTGGAGAGTTCAACGCGGGATTCGCTAAACTGTTTTTCATGAAAGATAAGTCCGTACCTTCTTTATTTGGACCAACAAGCATCTCCGAACCCCAACCTGTAAGTACAATTGATACTTTATGTGTACATTTTCAACTGAGTGCTCAAAATATTGTTTTTTTTTGTGGTAATATGTGATGTATACCTAGTGCAGCTTTACATTTCCAGATAAACCACGATATTACGGTCTTACTGAAATAGTTCTGATAATTCGCTATGAACCCACTATTTCTTAAGAATGTGTCGATTAATGTAGAATGTCATTGTTCTAATTATTTAGTTTAATAATAAAGAATGTAGACATATTTTGGTTTACAAACTGAATTGTTTCATCAGTTAGTCAAGTTAGCACTCGGCTAACAGATCCACCATTATTGTTTTGTTAAGTGTTTACAGTTTAGCAACTAAACGTCAGCTGTGGGCACAATTCGCTTGCATAAGTATTAAACAAAATGTTTTTTTATGTCATTATTTTACAGGCTCATTTTGTCAAAACACTACACACAATTCACACACACACACAAGGATCAGAACATTTCAGATCTTTTGCAAAACTAAGCACTTCATTCAAAACTTTATAATAATTTAACAAAACCCAATTTTGTCCATATGGCACACACATGGTTCATACAGTTGGATTCTTTTTGAAGATCCAATGTCCGAACTGTCTCAATAGCCGGCACGTGAGGCGTCTTCTTCTTCTTCTTCTTCTTCTTGCTTTACGGTGGATCACAGACTTATAAGTGCATTACCGCCACCTATCTCTCAAATGGACCATTGACACTCTATCTACAATCACAATTAGGAGTGTCAATGGTTTAATTTGGTTTTGTTTGTCTATGTTTTTTACATACATCTACATCTTGGATGCCCTGGGGGTAAGCAGATAAACATCAAATTTTCATTTTTGGGTGAACTATGAGCTGTTTGTATGAAAAATAGAGCTGCATGATTCTGGATAAATTGAGTTGTTGTTTTTTTTGTTAGTTTTTTTTTAATGGAAGTTGTGGTTCTCTCACGATTCTGAAGTTAAAAAAAAAAACATTAGACAACTAAACAAAATCACATGTAATTTATGAATGAATGATTCATTGACTCACTCAAGATATACTTGTACTTGTTTCCTTACTGGATGAATCAGCGTTTTTGAAAAAATCGGTAACGCTTTAGATTACAACCCGCAATGTACTGCGTAAGTAAACAGAATTTACAGCGTAACTATTTTGTAATTACAGTGACTGTGTGGTTGGAAAGACTGTGAAGCTGTTTTATTCATTTACTGTACATGACAGCAGCTGCTTAGGTCAGCAGCAGCGCAAATGCAAATTTAAATGTTCAAATCACACTGATGTGATCGTACTCGGCACGGACGAACCAAGTGATCACAATGTTGTGATCGCACATGTTCAAAGGTTGAGGAATGAAACAGACGAATCGTTGTAATTTAGGAATAGAATCACGTTGGTGTTTGAATCGTGTTTGCGATCTTTAACGATCTATTAAACTAAAGTGCTTTGTCATGTTGGTGGTGACACCTCGCTTGAAACATGATTAGCTTATCACAGATATTATAGTTAGCTTTTTTGGCTTCTGATCGCAAGTGTAGCCAAACTTTAGAGAACTTTGATTAGCGAGCAAGGTCCTGGCAGATCGCTAGGTCAGGTCCTCACAGATGAAGAAAAAAAAAGTGCACACAGGAATCGAAATTTTAATTTTACAACAAGTATCTGATTCCTGACCTTAAGTATCCGATTCTGGAATTTTTGCTCATGTTATTCAGCTGCAACAGAATGTGTTGGAAAAAGGCACATAATAAATGTTTGACATCTAAATGTTTGACTTCTTTTTTTATATATTGGATTTTTTTATCTTATTGGAATCGAAACTAGGAATCAATAAGGACAGGAATCGATAAGCAGAATCGGAATCAATAAAATTCAAACGATATTCAACCCTACTTATATACTTGTATGCAAAATCCACTAGCCAAATTTCATTGCCGTTTTCTCAGATCAGAGATGATTGGGGCTCCCTAGTAAACCCCTAAAGTCCTCACAACAAAACATCTCCGTTCCTTCTTGTGCCTTGTTTGGTTTCCAGATAAACTGATTGTGATCAGAGAGAATCTGACGTGGTCTGAAGCTCTGAGATACTGCAGACAGAATCATGTGGATCTGGTCTCGGTTCATTCAGAAGAGATTCAGCGTCGTGTGATGAATGTGGTTAAATGGGCGTCTACAGTAGTGGTGTGGTTGGGTTTACGTCACTCCTGCAGTGATACAAATTTGTTGGGGTTTTTTTGTGTTTCTTGTTGATGTGGGTCTGTTTGCTCCATTTTAAAAGCCTCATCGGTTAACAAACTCATTCAACGTACTTTGTGTCATTTAGTAACCGCAGAATTATGAGACATTCATCTGCCAATTTAATTCTGTGAGGGGTCATAAGGGCATCATATTTACTCATCATTTTCTCTTATGTTTGAAGACTTTTATGTTTTATAATCACCTTTAGAAATTATTGAATGTAATTCTGTGAGCAGCAGCTCTTGACAAGAATATCTGTTGTGTCTCAGAAGAAATACATCTGGTTTATTCTTAAGGCAGAAGTGAAGATTGAGTATAAAATATTGTGTTTGATCCCAAACAGGCAAATATCAAAACCATGATATGAGCTGATGTTCTTATAGAGGTAAATGTCGAAGAATTTACTTATACTGTATTATAGTGTATAGTATCAAGTCATGCAGGTGTCTGTACATTCACTTTATTTATGCATTTTGGTTTTTCAAATCTGTTACTGTCAAAGCCTCATTATTATAGATTTTTTTTTTTTTTTGGAGCTCAGTCATTCAATAGCACTGACTGTTGTAGAAGATTTTTATTGATCAAGATGTGAATTAATCAAGAATAATCAATGTGAATATAGCCATTTATGTATCAAGTTATTCTACTTTTATAATCATGTATTTGCCTGTGTTTGTAGAGGCCTGCATTAGAATGGAATGTGCAGACATACATTTTGTGCTGAAGCTGCACATCCTCTTTTGACATTAGACAAAAAAAATATATGATGAGGCCTCTTCCTTAACGTGAATGGAGGCCTCTTGTCCGCTTCCTGAAAGCAGACTGGATGCACAGCCAAAAATAGGTAAACAATAACGATTATATAGGAAATGTATTGAACACGCCTTGGGGAAAAACTGTATAAAAGAGAGTGCAGACACAGACTAGAGAGATCTAGGTTTAGGCCTAATGGTTAGAGATTCTGACTTGTAACCCAAAGTCTCGATACCAGCAGGGGATTGTAGGTGGGTGGAGTGAATGACCTGCGCTCTCTTCCACCTTCAATACCACGCCTAATGAGACCCTTGAGCAAGGCACCAACTGCTCCCCGGGTGCCGCAGAAACAATGGCTGCACACTACTCTGGCTGTGTGTTCCCTTTCAGTCGGTCACTCTCGACGTCACGTCGGATGACCGACGAATTGGGATCTCGCTTAGAGAGACCAATCTACTTCGAGTGTAAACTAAACGAGCCAATGCACATTGGCATGCGATTATTGCATCCAGCTGCCGCTGATCACATCACTTTTCGCTGAGGAGCCGAGCGATCACATCGTTCTGCTCCTGACTACTCTACTGAGACAAGAAGACTGAACGAGTTCAGCACGCTCTTGGAGAGCTCTTCGTGTTGGCGGTACGGCGCTTCAGCGGTGGTGGTTTCCCGTGTCGAGTGGGTTGCACACATCAGGCTGCACTACCCCCTGTTTGTGTCGCAGATGATCATCTCACCTGTGCGCCTCAGCACGCTAAAAGAGCTATTTCCCTAAAAGAGCAATTACGGGTGCGTCTTTTTAAAGACGACATTGCGTGGCAAACTTGACGTTACGTCTTTGTAAAGACGATGTGGGTCTTGCTATAGACAACGTATCACCCGGGCGTTTCTGGATGCGGTCGTTACCTGGCGCTGGGTGATGGTCACGATCGCTGCCTCACGTGCCTGGGCATGTAGCACGCTGAGGTGGCGTTTGTGGATGAGTCATCTTCTCATTGCGGGAAGATGATCATCTCGGAGTCGCGGGCCAAGCTCCGTTTCCTTAAAGGTGCGGAGTTCCGTTGCCTCTGCCTCGATCTAGTTCTCCTCATGGCGGCAGCCAGGGGGGGCTACTTCAGGCAGTAGCGCGGGCGGTCTCTCCTTCAGGGAATGAGGGTTACCATACGTAACCGAGACGTTCACTACTCACTGCGGTGTGTGTGCACTTGGATGGGTGAAATGCAGAGCACAATTCAGAGTATGGGAGACCATACTTGGCCACACGTCCTTTCCTTTCCTTATTTGTAGCAATATCTTGAAATCGACCATGCTTAAGTCACACACAAACTTCAAAAACACCTTGCAAAACACAACAATGGTAACAAATCAATTTTATTTATTTTTATTAATTGTGACAATACCAATTTTCTTTGCTATTTTTGTTGTGCTACTACAAGACAGCAAATAAAATTATATTTAAAAACTATTAAATATATATAATAATAATAAAGAAACCAAAAGCAAAACAGTAAAATATAGCAACTGCATAATTTATCTATGCCACAACTGGGAATCAGTAATTCTGAGTAGCTAGGCTATACTAAGTCAAGAGTAAATCAAAAGTAAATTATCAAGTAATCCCTACAGTGCTTTTTAGTTACTAGAACTCTTGTGTAAGTGAACTATACTAACTAAACATTGGTCAGTACAACATACTATTCCTATTTCACTTTACCTAGTTTTTTTTTTTTTTTGCTTTCATTTGCCACGATGGCAGATGATAACATCCAGGATTCATGTACTGCATGGCACGATTAAATTAATTTACATTTAACCGAGTTTAATATGGAGTGACACTGAAATGTAGACCTTCGTTTATGTGTTTTTGACCTACACTGTCCATGACAGAGCAGTTCGCTATTTAGGTTTGAATGTTAGCATGAACTCATTAACTGTAACGTTTTTTTTTTATTTTTATTTTTTTACATTTTTTATTGTTGTTTAATTGATACATAATTATTTATTTTTGCTGTGTATATTTGTGTTTTTGAAATTAGCGGCTTAATTTCTATAAAATTGTGGCATTGCACCGATTAACCTTGACCTTTGGTTAATTTGCACTGGACAAATGTCATTTGTTAGAGTAATGGATATAATAGAATAGTCGACATAAAACATGGAGAATAACCATTTGAGTTAAACAATGTTTCTATATATTTCATGGTCATGTTACATGTAGGCCTACTACAGTGTGAGAACCGCTTATGCTGTGTAGAATAGATCACTGATTAAAGTTTAAAGTTGAAAAAAAAAAAGGTAATCTTTCTTAAACTGGTGTTCCAAGGTATCTGGCAGAGTATTACTGTATGTGTTTGTAAGAGATGTACATCGTCACTCGGCGGAGGAGCACTGATGTTAATCTTAGTAGATTTAGGCTAAGAAAGAGTTCAAAGGGGAAGAATATCTTTTTAGATGCTAGCTTGTATATTGTACTAGCTCTAAATTATATCTGTAATTATTTTCATTACGTTCATTACTATCTGTCTCTATTTGTTAACAATACACAGTTAGACACGATGCATTATAATTCTTATAAATATGTGAATAATCACCAAAAGGAAACTAAGCAGAAATGAATTAAATAATATTTTCATTGTTAAGCATAATTATAAAGAAATTTCGGGCAATGCATTTAGAATCAGAATTACCATCTTTAACAAAAGTACATTTAGTGAAATAAAGGCAGTCTTGATTTCCAGTATGTTATTTTCCATTGCCACAGTGACCTGCAAATAAAATATTTGCTTATTACATCTCATAGCAAATTTAGAATCATTCTTATTTGTGCAGCTTATTTCATGTCTTATTGTACAGTTGTGAGAACAGACTCACTTTTACCAGCATTCACCTTCTGGATCACCCGCTTAGGGTTCTGAGACCAACGTAGAGTCACGTTTGTGAGTCCTCTATCAGCCAAAGCAGATCCCAACTGAAAATAACACATTTAGATTGGAATGTAACAATACACTTAAATCTTCATGTTTCATAGAAACGTTGATCATACCTCTGTAAACCCTGATTAAAACAAAGTCATTATATTCCTCATGAAGCAGCTCTGGAGCAATATCAACTTATTAATAAGTATTCGGTGACTTTTCTGAAATAACTTTGATTTTTGATCACTGAAAGCTTCTGTAAGAATGAAGGTTTTATCTACATCTCCAAATGCACAACAAACCTTAAAATGTCCACAAAGACATTTAAGGGTTTCATTGAATTTCAAGTGCATCTCAACTTCGGGGCTATGAGGTCAGTTTTTAAAAAGAGGGAAACCAGATGAGAGCTGCAGCTAATTAACAGTAATCATGCCAGTTGAATGTTTTTCTTTCTCTTACCTGTTTAAGAACATTTTCTCTCACTGAAGGGTCAGTTAAATCAGCTCTGGAGTTAAACTGCATCTTTACAAATGATCTTTTTAAAACGGGAACTAAACAAAGATACATGTAATATGAATTAGTAGAGGTTGCTTTCGTTAAAAACGTATTAATGCTCCTCACTGTTTTGTTGACAAAAAGCATGTGACATTGTCAAACCTCCTTCATAGACCTCCACCTCACACAGAGTGAGTGTCTTCATGTCTCCAGGAATGATTAGATTCACGTAACGTCCCTCCATCCCAGCGCATGAGTAGCTGTAGGACTCACCTGCTGGAATAGCAGGAATAACAGCACATCTACACACAGAGAGAAAGAATATAAAAATACTGTCATATCTGAATGAATCCTTCACATTTGTGCCCGATGTCTCACATTTTTTAAACTCAAGGGTCTCACATGGGATTGTTGTTGCCGTTGATCTCCAAAGAGTTCCCGATGCGAATCTCCGCTCCGTTTATTTGTTCTGCACAGCAGTCATTTCTGTTAGTGATGACCACGTCACTAATTGTGTACACATCACGCAGATCCAGCCTCCACCATGGGTTAGTCTCATTAAGGGTTGATGAGCATGCTGTATTCTGCTGGAGACCTCGATTACTGTCGATGGCCTTTTCAGCAAACCAGCCTGTAATTGTTGATGACTGTGTAGTGGCTCCATCCACTGCCAAATTTCCTAATTAAATTAGTGTAAAAGAAGAGAAAAAAAAGATACATTCTAAAGCACAAACTTGTGCATTAAGTGGTTGGGAAGATTATAACAATGACTTGAGGTTAAGTGAGTAATTTCATCAACTACTGTCAACAAACGGAATTATAAACACAGTGACGTTGTGTCTAACGATGCCCTCACAACTATATTCACAATAATTACTCCATTAGATCATCAACAACCTGGGACCACACTAATAACCTCGTCAACAACTACCCATCTCTCCATCTTCAAGAACTTTCAATTGGAATGAAAAGTATGTTTTGTAACACAGTTGATGCATTTCTTTACTGCATTGATTTTTCCTACGTCTTGTGCTGGCCAGCATTATATGATCACGCTTGAAACGAGCCCCTCGGCCTGCCACCCGCCACTGGCTTTTGTATTGCAGAAAACAAGCTCTGTGACCAACACATGTTCATGATTCTGACACGCTTTGTTGGTCATGATAATCTTCATGAATAAACACAAATTTTGAAGTCTAAACACAATTGGCA